TCCTAAAGTAAGGGTCCTCATGGGGGTGGCAGATAGGAAGGAAGGACCCTAGTAAATACCACTGCCTGCATGGACGACCTTGAAACGTGGTGCTAAGGGAAGGTGGTGAGCCACCAAGGGCAGCGTTGTGCGGGACTCCACGTTCTGAAGCAGGCRGATCCATAGACAGAGCCTCAGGCGGCCCCCGGGCCACTGGGGGGGCTCCCAGGTTAGGGCTTGCCTTGGGGGTGATGAAAGTCGGGGCTGGGGAGAGGTGGTGGCTGTACACATGGTGCGCTGCTCACCGCCCCCCCCCCCCAGTCTCCTGCACTCTCTCAAATGGTGGCTTTGGGTACATTTTACCTCCATTTAAAAATCGATGGATCTGTTAGAAGGGGACGCAGGCTTGGAGAGAGGGAGGACGGGGAGTGCGGGGGCGGTGCGGTGTGTTGAGGGAGGGTCCCAGAGAAGGTGGTGTTCCGGAAAGACCAGCAGGGGCTGCGGGGAGGCCCTGGGCGGCTGAGGGAGGAGGCCAGGCAGAGGTAAAGGCCCGAGGCTGGGATAAGTGGCAGCTTCAGGCCTGGAGCCCAGGGGCCTGGCTGTGAGCACAGGCACTGGGCGGGGGTCTCTGGCTGCTCTGTGAACAGAGCCTGGGAGTGAGGTTGCACTGAGAGCCGGCCAGGGTCCTGGGGAGGGACAATGAAGAGGCCACCAGGGTCAGGGGTGGGGTGGGGAGTGGGATCCCGCGGGATGTTTTAGTTAGTTTTTATTTTACTTTTATTTTTTATTATTTGCTGTGGTCCCAGGGACAGAACCCAGGGGTGCTTCACCACTGAGCCCCATCCCCAGCCTTTTTCATTTTTAATTTTGAGACAGGACCTCACTAAATTGTGACACTGCCCTTGAACCGGTGACCCTCCTGCCCTCAGCCCTGGCCAGCACACCCAGCCCCTGCGGCACTTTAGAGTCAGGCTGCCACTCCTGCTCCCAGGCAGGACCCACTGTCCCCTCTGCTCAGGTATTTCCCTAGACTCTCCATGGACCCGCCCTGTTCCTGCGCTCTCCCTGTCCCTACCCAGCCCTACCCTTGGCCTGGGGGCCTCTGTCCTTCAGCTTCGGTCTCAGTCCACCTCCCTCCCGCTCCCTCCCAGACCCTCCCCCCTGTGTTCCCCTCTAAACAGGACAGTGACAAGTACCTTGCTGTGGGCCAGGACACTTGCTGGGGCCTTGGCATACGGGCATGTCACTGAATCTCCCTGGGAGGTTCTGTCTTTGTCCCCGTGTCACAGAGGAGGAGGCTGAGAGAGGTGAACACACGCGCTCAGGCAGCCTGCGGTCGGTCGGGCCCACCCTCTGTGCCGGTGGTCAGTCCTGCCTGGACCCAGCCTCCCTGCCCACCTGATGGTGATGGCACTGAGGATGGGGGTGATGGTGGTGACAGTACTCTACTCAGCTTTTTATTGCTGTGACCAAAAGACCTCCCAGGAACAACATAGACACCTGGCATGGTGGCACACACCAGTGGCTCCAGCAACTCGGACTCCAGAGGCTGAGGCAGGAAAATCGAGAGTTCAAAGCCAGCCTCAGCAACTTATGAGGCTCTAAGCAACTTCGCAAGGGCCTGTCTCAAACTTAAAAATATAAAGGGCTGGGGATGTGGCTCAGTGGTGAACTGTCCTTGGGTTCAGTCCCTGCTACAAACGAAAAGAAAGAAAACCCAGAGAGAAGGGGAAGTTCCTGGGGGCTCATGGTTCAGAGGTTCCGCCCGTGGATGGCTGACTCCACAGCTCTGGGCCCCAGGTGAGGCCGAGCGTCATGGTGGACGGGCGCGGCAGAGGAAAGCAGCTCAGGACAGGTCAACCAGGAGGCAGAGAGCCCCACTCACCAGGGAGGAAAAGACACAGCCCAGTGACATCCTCCAGCCATTCCCGAGGTGCCTACGGTGGTTACCACCAGTTCCTACCAGGGGTCAGAGTGCTGCTGGGTAAGGCTGTCGTCACCCAGTGGCCTCCCCTCTGAGCTCTCCTGCAGGTCCCACAGCTGAGCTCTTGGGGACACCTCACGGTTGAGCTGTCACCTGATGACCATGATGATGGTATGAGAGGGGAGATGATGGAGACGAGAACGGTGACCACGGGTGACGGTGGTGATGAGGTGGAGAGGATGACAGAGAGGTGGTGGTGACAGTCGCGGTGACAATGGTGATTGTGACATTGGCCTGAGGATTATTTGGCGATAGTGATGGTGCTGGTGTGAAGAAGAGGATTATAATGTGCTGACCTTGACGTTGACCTTGGTGGYGATGGTGGTAGCTGACCGTGTGCCAGGCACAGCGAAACACTTCCTCGTTAACACTAACGAGTGAGCCCTGGGGCAGGATGAGGGTTAACGGATTAACCTACACCCCAGTCCTGGAAGGTTCTGATGAGGACTCTGAGACCCAGGGTGGTAGTGGACTTGGCCACAGACCCAGCTTCCTGTGAGCAGGGTCCCTCTCCCGGCCACCCAGAACCTTGCCCAGCAGGTCTTGGAACCAAACTTGAGTATATGGGAGTCTATCCTAGCTCAGCCCCAATGCCCAAGGCTCTGTCCTGCCGGGAGGCCCAACCTGGCCGTCGCCAAAATGCCTCCCACCACCACCACCACCACCACCCAAGAGGAAAGCTCATCTCCCCAACAAACCCAGCCCTGAGTTCTAGAACTGCCTTCCAACGCCTCAGAGTCCCCTGTCAACCGCTCCAGGCCCTGCCCATCTTGAGCCCCCAGCCCAGGGTTCCCGCAGCTCCCCGTCTGGCCACACTTCCCCTGGGCAGGTAGATCCCAGGCGAGACCCYGCCGGGTGCCAGGCTCTGCCCCACACTCCCCAGAGGCCCGGGCTGCCCACCATGGTCTTGAGGGCTGGGCAGCCTGGGGCACATTCCCCTGGGACCTACCTAGGCTCACCCTGAGAAAACCGGGGGGCGGAGGGCCGTCCCAGCATCCCCGACCCTCAGGCCCTGCTCCCCCAGCCAGCCTCCCACCCTCTCCCGTGGGCGCTCACCCTTTCTTGTGTGTGCCGTCCCAACCTACAGAAAAGTCCCAGCAGTTGTCTGGTGCAGTGGCTCTCGACAGCCACCCCCAGGCCCCTAGGAGCACAGGCCAGCATCACCTGGGCAATGCAGGCTCCCAGACCTCACCCCCAAATAACAGAATTGTGCTCAAATCTGAGAACCTCTGGTCTGATCACTCAGAGTTAGGTTCTACTCTTTTTTTCTGTAAATGTTTACTTATATATTTATAATGTAGATGGACATGACACCGTTATTTTATTTTTAAGTTGTGCTGAGGATTGAACCCAGTGCCTCACAGGTGAGAGGCAAGGGCTCTGCCCCTGAGCCCCAGTCCCAGCCTCGGGTTTTTACTCTTGACAGCATTTAGCCTATTTCCTTCATATATATATATATATTTTTTTTAAAGAGAGAGTGAGAGAGGAGAGAGAGAGAGAGAGAGAGAGAGAGAGAGAGAGAGAGAGAGAGAGAGAATTTTTAATATTTATTTTTTAGTTCTCGGCGGACACAACATCTTTGTTGGTTTGTGGTGCTGAGGATCGAACCCGGGCCGCACGCATGCCAGGCGAGCGCGCTACCGCTTGAGCCACATCCCCAGCCCCCATATATATTTCTTCTTCCTTCTCCCTTTCCTCCTCTCTTTTTTATCTCCCTTCTTCTCCTCCTCCCTTTTTTCTTTTTTTCTTTTTCCCCAGTACGCAGACTGAACCCAGGGCCTCACACAAGCTAAGCAAGTACTCTACCACCTAGCCATACCTCTCCAAGCCCTTTTCATTTTTTATTTTGAGACAAGGTTTCACTAAGTGGCTGAGGGTCTCATTAAGTTGCTGAGGCTAGCCTCTAACTTGTGAACCTCCAGCCCCAGCCTCCTGAGTAGCCAGGATTACAAGCATGTGCCACCATACCTGGATGGTGAGATAGATATGGCAGAGCTGGGGATGGAACCCAGGGCCTCACACATGCCAGGCAAGTGCTCTACCACTGAGCCACATCCCCAGGCCCAGACAGATGTTTAATTAATAATGTGGCAAAATACACATAACTTGTAACCCAGCATTTTAGCCATTTTGAAGTGTACAGTTCCGTGGCATTTGACGGAGTCACCGTGTTTCAGCCATCACCTCTGTCTAGTCCCAGTACATTCCGTCACGCCTATGAAGAAGCCACCCCCAGACCCCCTCCCCCAGCCTTTTTTCTTTTTTCTCTCTTGGGATTTGCCTATTCTRGATATTTCATTCACATGGAATTATAGATATCAGATATATTTTTAAATAAGCCTTTTTATGGAAATTTAATATACACMCCCACACCATTAGCAAAGAGCTCCATGAATCTCCCCACTAGTGTAAGAAAGAGAACCCACTCACATAATCCACACTCAGATCCAGAAGCCCAGGGCTTTCTCGCCCCGGGGGCCTGGTGGGTCTCTTCCCCTAGGCCGCGGTCCTGCCTTCTCTCCCCGCTATCAGTTCAGCCCCGACTGGGGCTGTGTAGGGAAGGGTCACACAGCACAGCTGATGGGGCTCACTGCCTTCCCCAGTGTGTGCACCCGTGTGTATGTGTGTGTGTGTGTGTGTGTGTGTGTGTGTGTACATGTGCCGGTGGGAGTCTGCCATAACAAAGCACTGCAGACCCAGCAGCTTACACGACAATCATTCTCTTCTGGCTCCAGAGACTGGAAGTCCCAGTCAGGGGGTGGGCTGGGTGGCTCCCTCTGACCTCTCTCCCTGGCTTGCACACACCTGCCTCCTTCTGACCCAGTAGGCTCTTGTCTCTGTGCTTTAAACCTGTCTCCTAGTCTCTTCTTCTTGGACTGGGACCCAGCCTAATGATYTCGTTTCACCTTAATCACCTCTCTGCAGGCCTCATCTGAAAATGCAGTCTCATCTGAGGTACTCAGACTAGGAACTCTGTGTAAGAATTTTGGAGAGCAGCGGGACTCAGGAAACACCAATGAGCGGCTGTCTAGCTGCTGCGGGTCAGCTTTGGGCCAAAGTGGGTTTATAGACCCAGATGAGCGAGATGGGGGTGAAGCTGGAGGTGTTTCGGATGACACTCTACCTCACTTTCCCTGTGGCTATGTTCTGGATTTCCAATCAGGCTGAGTGGTTTGAGGACTATGTCATACAGCGCAAGAGGGAGCTGTGGCCACCTGAGAAGGAGAGCCAGCGTCAAGAGCTAGAAGAATTCAAAGAGAGGATACGCAAGCAGCGGGAGGAGAAACTCCTTCGAGCTGCCCAGCAGAGCTCCTGAGGCCTCCAAATGCTTGAGTCCCAACCCCTTCACCCATGAAATAACACATACTCAGTTCCTTGTTAAAAAAAAAAAAAGAATTTTGGAGACACAGTGTAGTCCACAACAGTTCATGAAAGCCATCCAGATTGCCGAGAGTGTAGGAATGCTAGGGGAGAGATCCACAGGGTGGCTACTGCAGTTGGGAGATGCTGGAGACTCCAACCTGCGGTTGCTGGAGAAGCCAAGAAGAAGGCTGATCCAAAAGAATCCACAGGGCATCAATTTGACCATATTGTCATATTGATTGTCACATCAATATGATTGTGCCACCAGTCCATAGCACACCTTTTTGTGATGGGTGATGGGTGATGGGTAATGTGTGCGAGCTGGGATTTGAATCCAGGGCTTGGTGCATGCTAGGTAAGCACTCTATCAATGAGCTACAACCCCAGTTTTTTTATTTTTTGAGACAGGGACTCACTAAGTTACCCAGACTGGCCTTGATCTCGTAATCCCCCTGCCTCAGTCTCCTGAGTACCTGGTACTAGAGGCATGAAACACCTTGCCCTGCACCTTTCTTTGAAAGCACTCCCATAAGACATTTTATTTTATTTTATTTTATTTTTTAAAGAGAGAGTGAGAGAGGGGAGAGAGAGAGAGAGAGAGAGAGAGAATTTTCCAACATTTATTTTCTAGTTCTCGGCGGACATAACATCTTTGTTGGTATGTGGTGCTGAGGATCGAACCCGGGCTGCACGCACACCAGGCGAGCGCGCTACCGCTTGAGCCATATCCCCAGCCCCCATAAGACATTTTACACTTTTTTTTTTTTAGAAGAGAGAAGGAGAGAGAGAGAATTTTTAAATATTTATTTTTCAGTTTTCGGTGGACACAACATCTTTATTTTATTTTTATGTGGTGCTGAGGAACGAACCCAGCGCCCYGCRCATGCCAGGCGAGCGCATGACCACTTGAGCCACATCCCCAGCCCTACACTTTTATATGTTGGAATAAGGTCATAATAAATCTGTAATGTCAAAAATGTGCCTAGAGCTGGGCTGGAAGGGCTGCCTCTTCCACCCTCACAGCTATTCAGTTTCCCTTACCATACTCAAGAAAACAGAGCCAGGGCACAGAGATGAGCAGGAAGAAGAAGAATGGGATGGAAAGAGGGGACAAGTTGCTCTAGGGGTGYAGAAAGGAGAGGGGTCCTTTGTAGTCACACAGCTAACACCCGTCTCTCTTGCAGGCAATTCTCCAAGATTGAGGCTGCCACCCAGAGCCTGGCCCTATCCATCCTGTCCCAGGAGGCAACCCCCCAGAGAAAGCCAGCCAGAAGGCCACCCTTGCCGCCTCCATCTCCCTTCCTGGGGGTGGCTTGTGCTATGGCCCCCAGGGAGGCACCCCATACCAGCGCCACCCTGAGCTTTGCTGCCCTAGAGGCCTCCACCCTTGACCTCTTCGATGACATCGCACTCACCCCAGACTGTCCTTCAGTGCCATGTGATCTGTCCTCACAGCCTCCGACTGCTGATACTCCCCAGCTGGGGTGGGATCTGTCCTGTCATGCTCTGGGCCAGGGAGACCTGAGGCAGCAGGACATGATGCTGGCACCACATTGCTCAGATCCTCTGCCTCTTACACAGCATGCCCAATGGGGAGAGTCTGAGATTGGCYATCTGGACTGGAGCTGGGTGGACAGGTGGGAAGTGCCTCGTACCTGGCATTCTCAGGGGATCCACTAAGACTGGGGGACCCCATGATTATCAACTGCAATGCAGCCCAGGGCCCAGGACAAAGCAGAGGCCTCACCTAGAAGTCCCCTGACCTGTCCTCCACTCCTTTCCTGACAGACCCTGAGAAAAGAAGCCAAGCCCAGACTCCTGCCTCGGGCCAGTCTCAGGGGCCTCGCCAGGCCCAGGGCCCCASCTCTGCCCCTTGAGGGCTCATTCTGGGTTGCCTTCTCCCTTCTTTCTTCCCAGCCCCAACTTGGCATCTGTTGCTCCCTCTCACCGGGCTCATCTCTGCCTAAAGTCTAGGCTCCTAGCAATTATTCCCAAGATCTACTGAGCGCCTACCGTGGGCCAGGCCAGATGGAGGTGTGGAGGTGCAGCAGAGGATACCCTGCCCTCCGGGCGCTCTCATTTGTGTGTTTGTGTGTGGAGGAGCCAACAATAAATGAGTACCCACATAGGTCTTCAAACACCAAGGTAAACCTCCAATTTCGGAGGGGAATTTCGAGCAGTGCATTCTTGCAAGGAGACGGTCAGGGCAGCTCTGGGGCCTGGGGACAGGAAGGGACACGCAAAGGCCCCAAGCCCTGAGGCGGACACCTGGCGGCGGGGTGCGGCGGGAAGGTGCGACCTGAGAGGCACCGAGGTCGGCCAAGGCTCACCATTAACAGGGAGGAATGCAGGCTTCGTTCCAGGATACCTGGAAGTTCTGCCCTCTCACCACCCTGCTTGCCAAGTGCAACCACTCAAGGAGGAGGGGACCAACAGGTGGCCAACAGGGGTCACGCTTAGTCTCGGTCTTCCCTGCAAGGTCACCCGCGCGAACCCCAGGCCTTCCGAGGAGCCCCGCCCCGCTCGCCGACACGCCCCACGGCCCTCCAATGGTCGGTCGCGCGGCCGCCCCGCCCCACCCCGGGCCAATCACGTTCTCAGGCAGACAGCCCCGCCCGCGCGGCGTCCCGGAGGGCGGGGCGAGCGCGTGGGGATTGGCCGGCGCGCGGCGGTTACCCCCTGGCCGCGGCGGGCCGTGCGTCCCGGACGGCCGGAGACCCACCGAGCGCGGTGCCCAGTCCCGCCCGGCCCGACCCCGGCGCCTCGGGTAAGTCCGCCCGCCGCGCAGAAGGGGAGGAGGCGGCGGCGCCCGGCGAGGTCCGCGTGGCCGAGAACTTCGGCGGCCGCGGAGTGACCTGAGCCCTCCCGGGCGCTCCCGCCGCCTCCGAGTCCCGGGCCGAGTTCTGCGTCCTCCCGGCGGATGGGTGGGTTTGACCCCCACTTCCTCGAGGAGGAACCCGAGGTTCCGAGAGAGTGAAACTTGCCCAGGGTCAGACAGCCAGGACGTGCGTCTCAGAGCCGGGTCCCCGAGGCCACTTGGGGAAGTAGCCAGCTCGCCCCCGCCCCCTGCGGGCCAGAGTACTGTCGCACCCGCGGGCTCCTTCCGGACCTCTCCCCACKACACTCAGGTCCAGCTGCAGCCCAGACCTCCCTCCTCACATCTTAGCCCCACACTGGTCCAAATATTTACTTCCCCAGACCAGCCCCCCTCGCCTCTGTTCAGGTCCCCGCTGGTGTTCAGGTCCTGAACCAGGCTGGACCGGAAACCTGGGGTGTCTTCAGGCCCCTGAGTTTCTGTCTTGCCCTCCCGGTTTTTTTTTTTTTTTTTTTTTGTACCTGGGACAGAACCCAGGGGAGGCTTCACCACTGAGCCACATCCCCACGCATTTTATTTTTTATTTTGAGACAGGGTCTTGCTAAATTGCTTAGGGCCTGGCTAAATTTCTGAGACTGGCTTTGAACTTGGGATCCTCCTTCCTCAGCCTCCTGAGCCATTGGGATTACAGGCTTGCACCACCATGCCCTGCGACCTGCCCCCTCTTCTCCAGCTGCCCCCCAACCTAGTAGACCCCAGCCCCAATCTCCTCTCAAGGCTCCTCCTCCAGTCCAGCCCCACCAAGGTCATCGAGGCCTTTTCGTTTTATTTATCTTGAAAACTTTTAAAGGGGAGTATACCACATATGCAGAAAACAGTGCAAACCGTAAATACACTGCTCAAGTAAATCTTCACCAAGTGAACACCTGGAGTAAACAGTGGTGGAACATCCTGCAGAAACCCTCGGGGTGCTTGACCATCTTAACGTGTTTCACCACAAATTGGTTTGAGGTTTTGACTTTATGTAAAAACAAGCCAACCAACCCCCTACCTTTTTGGAGGGGGCATTGGAGATTGAACACAGGGGTATTTTATTGTTGAGGTTTTTTTCTTTTGTTTTAAGATGGGGCCTCTCCAAGTTACTGAAGCTGGCCTTGAATTTGTGATCCTCCTTGGGTATTCCCACTATGCCAAGGAAATAGTCCTTTCTTTGTGTTTTTTTTTTTTTTCTTTCTTTCTTCTTCTTCTTCTTCTTTTTTTTTTTTTTTTTTTTAATGGGACTGGGGATGAAACCCAGGCCTCACACATGCTAGATGAGTGCTTTACTACTGAGCTACATCCCAGGCCTTTTATTTAGAGACAGGATCTTGCTAAGTTGCCCAGTCTGGCCTTGAACAGTTGATCCTCCTGCCTCAGTCTCCCGGGTCTCTGGGATTACATGCCTGCCTCACAAGAACTGGGATTACAGGCAGGCACCACTGCACTGGGCCTCCTTTTTCACTTCTCTTGAATTTTCCTTATTGTTAAAGAGCTTCCTTGTAGTTGTTTCTAGCTGCACAGAATTCTGTCGTAGCAGCCAGTGCCTAACTGAACATTTAGATGTATTTCTGCTCCTTTGCCCTGCCAGAGTGCTGTGATCAGTGATCTTCGTCATTTCACAGGGATGTCTGCCAGATAAAGACTTAGGGGCAGATTTCTGGGGCAGAGGGTTTGTGTATCTATCATTTTGAGAAATGGGGCCTTGTAGTTGTCACCTGGAGTCCCTGTCCCCACTGCTGCCAGCCTGAAGGGGAGCTGCTCAGTGTACTGACRCTGGAGGAGCTTTCCAGCACCCCACCCTCGGACTCCCCGGGCTGCCCACTCCCCTCACAGAGAGTCCAGGGCCTAAGTGACCCACCAGGGAGCTCTCCAGCAAAGACCCTTGGGTGGGCTGGGGCAGGAGSGGTCCCCAGAACCTTGTTGGAGGGGGGTGCATCTCTGTCCTGAAGACAAATAGAAGCCATGGGGTCCGGGTTGTGGGAATGGCCACAGGAACAACAGCTTTGTTTTCCAAAAGATCATCTCTCTCTCTTCACTTCTTGGGAAGAGGTATGCAGACTCTGTCAGGAGATAGATCAGGTTTCAAGTCATCACAGCACTTACCACAGTTGTAATTCTGTGATTAAATACTTTGCTGTGGTTTTGTTTTGGGGGGGTATCCATTACATTTTAAAAATTGAGATAAAATTCATAGAACACAAAATTCACCATTGCTCTGGGGTGTAGTGTAGTGGTAGAGCTTCACATRCACAGGGTCCTGAGCTCAGTCCCAGCACTACCAAACAAGTCACCAACACAGTCTTCTGTTCACTCTTAAAGTTGAGATGTTACACTTAAAACACATTTTCTATGGTAGATATACTAAGTTTTTTTTTTAATATTTATTTTTTAGTTCTTGGCGGACACAACATCTTTTTTGTATGTGGTGCTGAGGATCGAACCCGGGCCGCACGCATGCGAGGCGAGCGCGCTACCACTTGAGCCACATCCCCAGCCCAATACTAAGTTTTAATAATAAACACCTGTGGGCTCAGCACTCAGCTTAAAAATATTAGCAGTTTATTGYTTAGTGCCTGCCCCCCGCCCTCCACACTTCACTGGGTCCCCCCAGGCTCTGTTTCCCAAATGAGTCAGTGAATGAGTGAGTGTGCGGAGCCACCATTCAGAGTGGCTTCCCACACGTGAGCACAAGCAAACCTTCCATGTGTAGTGAGACCTGCAGAAAAAGGCCACCAGAACTCCCCCCACTGTGCAGCAGCGTGGGGACCCAGAAATAGGCCTCCCCGGGGACTGGCTGGGGCACACTGGGACACACCAAGGTCTTGGAGATGCTCTGATGGAGGGAGTCAGGCCAGACCTGGGGCAAGTCAGGGGCTCCCTGGGACTCGGTTTCCTCCCTTGTAGACGGATTGCTGAGCAGGTAGCTTCACCAGTCCCATCCTCTTTCTTCCTTTTCTATTTTTAAAAAAGTGGTAAAATACACAGAACATAAAACCTGTGAGAGTGTGTGTGTGTGTGTGTGTGTGTGGTGCTGGAGTCGGAGCCCAAGGCTTCACATGCTCTACAGCTGAGCTGCGCTCCAGCCCAAAGACTTTCCCTCCTCATTTTAAAACGTGCAGCTAAGTAGCTCTTGGTACATTCATGATGTTGTGCAACTGTCACTACTGCCTCATTCACAACATTTTTGTCACCCTAAATTGAAATCTTGAATCATTAACAGTCACCCCAGGTTCCTCCTGCCCCAATCCCTGGCAGCTGCCACTCTGCTTTCCATCTCTGGGTTTGCCTATTCTGGATATTCCTTACAAGTAGAAACACACACAGAGTGGCCTTGTTACTGACCTCTCACTGAGAATATTTCAAAGTTCCCCTGTGGTGTGACGCATTGGTACTTCATTCCTTTGTATGGCTGAAGAATACCCGCTGTGGTGTGCCATCCTCTTTCTTTCTTCCTTTTTTTTTTTTTTTTTTGAGAGAGAGAGAGAGAATTTTTTTTTTAGAATTTTAATATTTATTTTTTAATTATCGGCGGACATAACACCATTGTTTGTATGTGGTGCTGAGGATCGAACCCGGGCCGCACGCATGCCAGGCGAGCGCACTACCACTTGAGCCACATCCCCAGCCCAAGAATTTTTTTTTTTTTGATATTTATTTTTTAGTTATTGGCGGACACAACATCTTTGTGTGTGGTGCTGAGGATCGAACCCAGGCCGCACGCATGCCAGGCGAGCACGCTACCGCTTGAGCCACCTCCCCAGCCCTGTTTGCCATCCTCTTTCCAAGACCTGGGAGGGAGTCTGCCAGTGTATTCTGCACTGGGTAAACGGAGGTGGGAGAAGAGCCAGTGGCCACCCTGGGAAGTCAGGTTCAAAGGCTCTGCAAGCCCTGCAGCTGCAAGGGGTGGGGTGGGCAGAGGCACAGCCTGGAGAGTGCAGTCCTTTTCTCTCAAGGGGCACATCCCAACTCTATGTGTCACTTCACTGCTTGGTCCTTATTTCCCCAGAGGTGAGGTACGGCTGAGGCTTCACGGTTGAGGCTTCACGTAGGAGCCTCATGGGAGGGCACTGGACACATGGCAGAACATGAGCCCAGAACCCTGTTAGTGGCCGGTGGAAACTCAGGTCATAGAAATGCTTGCTGATGTACAGTCTCCAGGATGGAGAGGTCTGGGAGGGTGACACTGGGGACCATGATGGTCAGGGCTACAAAGGCTTCCCAGAGAAGTGTCCTCTTGTGAAGCAGGTGGAAGAAGATGCCGGAGATCAGTAGATGCAAAGCTCTGGAGTAAGCAGGTCCGGGGTGAGGACCCAGGTGGAAACCGTGCACCCCTGGATGGAAACTGCAGAGGGTGCTGGACTCCCTCCCTGCTGAGCCTGCCCCTGCCTGTCTCCCACTTGAAGGAATGGCAGCAGCCAGGACCAGCCTGGGCCGGGTCCTCCCGGGATCCTCCATCCTGTTCCTCTGTGACATGCAGGAGAGATTTCGTCACAGTATCGTCTACTTCCCACAGATTGTCTCTGTGGCTGCTCGAATGCTCAGGGTATGTGTCAGCCTATTACCTGGATCAGAAGTCTAGGCCCCAGCCTCCTCCCTCAGACCCGGGTCCAGGCAGCCTCCTCCCTCAGACCCAGGGTCCAGGCAGCCTCCCCCCTCAGACCCAGGGTCCAGGCCCAGCCTCCTCCCTCAGACCCAGGGGTCCAGGCCCAGCCTCCTCCCTCAGACCCGGGGGTCCAGGCCCAGCCTCCTCCCTCAGACCCGGGGGTCCAGACCCAGCCTCCTCCCTCAGACCCAGGGGTCCAGGCCCAGCCTCCTCCCTCAGACCAGGGGTTCAGACCTCAGCCCTCCTCCCTCACAGGCCATAGACCATCTTTCTTCAGACCTAGGGTCCAGGCCCCAGCCTTCCTCCCTCAGAATCAGGCCTTTGTTCCCTCTCTCTGGCACAGGTGGCCCGACTGCTGCAAGTCCCAGCCCTGCTGACAGAGCAGTACCCACAAGGCCTAGGCCCCACAGTCCCAGAGCTGGGGGCTGAGGGCCTTCAGCCAGTAAGCAAGACCTGCTTCAGCATGGTGCCCACCCTGCAGCGGGAGCTGGACAGCCGGCCCCAGCTTCAGTCAGTGCTGCTCTGTGGCATTGAGGCCCAGGTTTGCATCTTGGTGAGATTCCCCACTGATCCCCTGGGGCCCCACATTCTCACCTGTAGGGACCTCCTCTGACCGGGGACTTACCTCCTAACCTGGGCCCCTGCTCTGATGTGAGCCTCCCTCAGCCCCTTTCTGGGTCCCCAGTTCTGACCCAACCCCTCACTTGGGCCCCTGGTTCTGGCCTGGGTTTGGTTCTGACCTTTCTCCACCCTAGCACACAGCTCTGGACCTCCTGGAGCGGGGGCTGCAGGTCCACATTGTGGTGGACGCCTGCTCCTCACGCAGGTGAGAGTCCCTCCCGGGAGTGGATGTGTGTGGGGGTCCACTGGGGCCACCTGCCACATGTGCCAGAGTATCAGGTGTCTTTGCCACAGCATGGACACCTGCCCTCTCTTCCTCGGACTTGCTTACAGTCAGGTGGACAGGCTGACAGCRCTGGCCCGAATGAGGCAGAGTGGTGCCTTCCTCTCCACCAGCGAAGGACTCATCATGCAGCTTGTGAGSGATGCTGCCCACCCCAAGTTTAGGGAGGTAATGGATCCTGGTGTCCCCTTGCTGGGCCACCCTGCACAGGAGAATGTGTATGGGCGTGGGGTAGGCTAAATTCTGGTGGAGGATTGCTCCCACCATGATACATAAGTGAAAGGACATGTCAGATGCCCATAAAGACTCCAGAGAACAAGAGGGATGATGTGGGTGTTGGAGTGCAGAGGAGGGGTTACATGGGGTAGTTCAGGAGGCTTCTGAAGTTGGTGGTTTAGAATGAAATAAGGAAGCCAGGCAGACATGGGGTGGACAGTCCAGCAGAGACCCTGTGAGCAGAACCCCTTGACACCCTGATACCCACTGCCAACTCTTCATGCCCTGGGCTTTTGCCCCGTTGTGTGCTGGTGCCCATCCTCACCCTCTTCTGGTGCCTGACCAAATGCTAGTATGCTCTCCCCACCACACCTTCAAACCCCTAGGCCTCAAGATGATGGGAAAAGACGCAACTAGAAAGCCCCAGTTCTTGCCCCTCCCTTTCCTTACATGCTGTTGAGCATCTGTTGAGCCACGTGGTTTGGCCAGGCAATGGCAGAATCAGCCCTCCTGGAGCTAGTAACGCCGTGTGGAGACAAAAAGCCAATCCGTGTTCAATAGCAGGTTGTGACCTGGAGCTGAAATGTGCAGAGGGCGATGATAGGTCACCTAGAACCCAAAACCTGGAGGGTAGGAGCAGTCAGTTCCTTCCCTGGTGCAGGGAACAGCTGGGATAAAGCCCAGAGGGTGGGGCTGAGCTCTCCTTATTCAAGGAACTGTATGTTGGAGGACATAGTTGGTGCTGGGCAGGTATGCAGAAGAGGCAAGGAAGGCAGGAGGTAGAGCCACATCTTGGCAACGATTTGGGATTTTAGCAATAGGCAGTCATCAGGGTTTTACACAGTAGAGCTGACCATAGTCAGATCAGCAAATAAAAAGATTTTCTGCTAAAAGGATGGGTCAGGTTGAGGGGAGAGGGAGTCCAGCAAGGGGGCAACTTCAGGCATCGAGGCAAGCAGTGATAGGGGCTTCACTAGGGTAGAAGCAGTGGAGATGCAGCCTTGGTTTTTGCTGTTTAATTTTCCAGAGATAAACTTGGTGGAACTTTTTGATGGATGAAATATGGTTGGTTGTTCATATTCAATAGGTAGTTAGGATAAATGGGTTGGAGTTCAGGGGGAAAGCCTGGGCTGGATTTTGGGAATCAAAGGCCAGAAGAGTGATGGGAGAAAGGGAATAACTGAAGAGGAAGTATAGACAAGAATCCCTGGACAAAGCCATCCATGTTTAGTGGTCCAAGCCAGCAAATCAGACTGAGATGGTTTGAAGTTATGACCTAAACCAGACAGATGTGATGAAAGGGAGGCCCTGGGAAAGCTTTTGAGAAGAGAGAATAGTTGACTTAGTCAGCTGCTGCCAAGAGTGTCAGGGAAGATGAAGACGGAGATGTGTCCCTCTGATTTGTCATCATGGAGATGGGGACCCTTGAAGACTTCCTGACTCCTCCCTCCCTCTACAGATCCAGAAGATCATTAAGGAGCCCGTCCCGGACAGCGGGCTGTTGGGCCTCTTCCAAGGCCAGAACCCCCTTTTCTGATGAATCTCCAGCCCTAACTTGAGGGGATACCACCCTCCTGTTACCCCATGGAAGTGCTCTTCCCCCATCCCTGTATGCCAAGAGTGGTGCCGTCCACCAGAGGTACCGCCCCCTTGGGAGGGGAGGCGTGGTTATGCCTTCCCATTGGGCAATTCTTCCCGGAAATGCAAATGAAACTCCTGGGATCTGGGCGGGAATTGGCTGAGAGCGAGGTGGGGGTGGGGCTGGGCCCCGGGCCACTTCAAGGGCCTGAACGGGGAGGGGGAAAGAGTATTACAGACTGGGACCCGGACTCGCAGAATAAACATTGATGTGGCTGTAGACCGAACCATTATTGGGTTTGGGGGGTTTCCTGGGGGCGACTGGGGTCCGCGGGTGGGAGAAAGAGGGGTCCTAAGCAAGTGGGGAGGGGGAGGTGCCTTTTCTCAGTCTGTGCAAGGCACTGGCGAGGACCGGCCGCTGCCACATCTGCACGGAAGCCGGCGCATCTGCACGGGAAAAAGCACCGCTGGCCGGGGTCGCTGCCACGCTGCGCCCCCATCGGCGCGGTGCGCGCACGCCCAGCCCGGCTGGCTCGCAGACACGCGCTCGCTGTTCCTCCCCCGGCCAGCCCCCACGCCACCACCCCCGACTCCCTGAGGGTCCCGCATCCGGAAGGTGAGGTGAGCGCGACCGCACCCGGTGCGGAGGGGGAGACTGAGGCACTGGACAGGGAGGAAGGAGCAGGCATGTGGATGGATGGGTGGATGGATGGATGGAAGAAGAGACGGCTGCGTTGAGTGGTCCCTGTGCCCCGACGACTCAGGAGTCCAGGGACTCACATGAGAGCTCCAAGATTCTGCAGCCCCCTTGAAAATCTGGGAATTAGAACTCTGTAGACGCCCAACCCCCCGGAGATTGACAGYCCTTGCCCCCTCCCAAGACTTGGGGACCTAAGAAGGTATCCTCTGCGTCCCCCGGGAATGCAGGGACGAGAGCCCTTAGCCAGCTAGCCCTTCACTACCRATGCTGGCAGCCCAGACCCCTCCCAGAAGGCCCGACAGCACAGAGCCCAGCACCCCGTTCCCTGGGAGTAGGAGTCGMAGCCGCCCCTCCTCTGGAGCCCCTGGGACGGGAGTCGGCACCCCCGGCCCCCGCCTTCCGGATCCAGGTGTCCCCTCTGCACCCCCAGCCCGAAGCCTGCGTCTGGAGCCGCGCTCTCGTCACCATGGCAACGGGAGTCTATTTTGCGCTGGGAACACACAGCTCCCGCCGCAGCGCCCCCCCACCCACCTCTCCTGAGAGTGGGGGCCGGAGGGGCGGGGGTCCGAGGAAAGGGGACACTGGCATTCAGAGGGACAGAGGCACGCAGAGACAGGGAGCCAGAGGCAAAGGGACAGAACGTGGCGGAGACCGGGAAGACGCAGAGCCCAGCGGGGGAGGCAGGGGATGAAGGCTAAAACAGGGGGCGGATTGAGACCGAGATGCTGAGACCGAGACCCAGGCAACGCAGAGATGCCACAGACCTATAGGAGACTCTGACCCAAGGGCAGATCCGRGCAGAGACCGGCAGTGGGCGGGCCGAGGAGGGGGCGGTGAAGGCAGGGGTCCAGGGAAGATAGATTAAYGGGGACGCCTGGGGCTGGAGACCCCGGAGATGGAACCGCACGGGGACCGTATCTGGTCCCCCTATGTGGTCCCCCTCAGGTGTTCAGCCGGGGAGGGTCGTGGTGTGGTCCTTGCCTTCCGGCCCTGCCACCTCTGCTCAACCCCCCCCCCCAACCGGCATCCAGACCCCGCTTCTCCCTCCGCTTTCTCCGCCTGTGGGTCCTCCTTGCCTGCTTCTGACGTTCCCACCTCAAACTGCCTCTGAACCCCGTGTTCCTGGAAACCCCTCCCGCCCCTCTCCATTGCATCCCCAGCCCCTCCACTGCCACTTGCTGACCCCATTGCCGCCATTCCAGAGGCTCTGACCCTTTCCAGTCTCCATGCCCCTCTCTCCCTCCCTCCACCTCGGTCTGTGCCCCCCAGTGCCCTAGGTGTGTGTCCTCCTCTGCTCAACACTGACCGGGCCCCCTCTCTCCACCTTTCACCTCCCCCCATGCACCACTCCTGGRGGACATATCTCCTCCCTTCTGTCTCTCTTCCCTGTCCCCTGACTCTTTCTGAATCCTCACCCCTCTCCGGGATCTCGACTTCCCTGTCAGTGTCTGCCCCTTGCTCTGGGCTTCTGGGCACCCTCAGCTCCCACCTCCTGCTGCTCTCTGTGGGGCTTCCCAGGGGGCAACTCATTAGGACCCACCATCCCCCAGCTGGCAAGGCTGAGAGGGGACAGCAAGAGAGTGGAATCTAGAACAGTGTTGGTGGCAGGAGGTCCACAGGACGTGGACCCAGAGCAGACCTGCCCCGGGCCTGGCTCCCCGATGTGTGTCCCCTGTCTCTCAGGTTGCGGGGCCTGGCTGGAGAGGGCAGGCCAGGGCAGTGCATGGACACTAGGGTCTGGCCTGCTCCTCCCAGCTGTGGAGGAGGACAGAGCAAGAGGTGGGGGCCTTCTGGGGGCGGGGTGGGGTGTCACATGCCTGCTTCCAGGCTCTCCATCCCAGGCGAGGGTGTTGCCACGTGTGTGTGCACCCCGAGGCTCTGTGGCTGAGCTGCGAGGGGCCCGCACAGATGTGTGCCCACTGCAGAGAGGTTGGCAGGCCCCTGGCTGRTTCCTGAGCTGCTGTGGCCCCAGCTTGTCATGGTGTCTGAGTCAGAGGTGCAGAAATGCATGGCTGTGTCCATGTGGAGCTGCGGGGACCACACTGGGGTCCTTGCACATTGTGTCTGGTGCACTGTCTAGTGTCCTGTGCTCTGTGCCCTGTGTGTGGGTAAGTGCTGTTGTGAGGTAAGGGAAGAGCTAGCCCCTGTTGTTTTTTTTGTTGTTGTTGTTTCTGGTCGGGCACTGTGTCTGCAGGTGTGTYCTCTGTCCACCTGTAGGTGCTGCCCGTATGGGGAGGTGCAGAAAGGCAGTTTGTGTGGGGGGAGACTGAGCTCGATGGGGAGTATGCTGCTCTGCCACCCCCGGGCTGGTCTTGCCATGCCCTGGCAGCGTGTCTCCCAGGTGTCCACTTGGATGCAGTAGAGGAGACAGCAGAATTCCTTTAGCAAGGGATGCCCAGCCAGAGGGTGGCACAGGATGGAGAAAGCAGAACTGCTACTCCACAGAACAGCCTTGTGCAGACGAGACAAAAGCCCCTCCTGTCCCATGAGCTCCCGAGTCTAGTGTTTCACAGGCAGATGGCAGCCTGTGAGTCTCCAAGGGCATCCCTTGCCCAGGTGGATGCAGCCCCTGTGGGGAGCAGGGTCCTGCTGGGCCCCTCTGCCAGTGTTCTGCCTGCCTGGTTTCCCATGGCAGCCTCAGTGGTGAAGGACCCCAGGTGGCTGTGTGTGTATCACCCCCATCTCTGGGTGTGGGATAGAGCCATTCCATTCGCAGTCTGCAGGCCTCAGTGCTTGAAGACCAAGTTCAGAGGCCACTGCACCACTCCTGCACTGTGGGGCTTAGGAGCTTGGATGTCCCCATCTGAAACGTGCATAAGACAAGAGAGAAACCCCTCTCACACTTGTTTTATCTGTTCAATAAACATTAATGGAGGGCTGGGGCCGGGGCTCAGTGGTGGAGCACGTGCCTAGCATGTTGAGGCACTGGGTTCCATTCTCAGCACCACATATAAATAAATAAAGGTMCATCGACAACATGAATCCCACACCTACAAAGGACCAGGCACTAGTGCTGGGTGCCTGACACGGTGAGAGCRCTGACAGGAAGACCTGTCTTATGGACGAATAGTGCAGGGGAGGCGGGCGATGGGACCCCACAACATGGCAGGTGGAGGCAGGAGTTAGAGGATACCAAGTGGGGAGGACACTGGTGCATGTCCAGGCTGCTGCCAGAGGCTGGACAGGAGGCCCGCTGGGAGAAGCAACACCAGAGGAAAGCAGGGGGTCTTAGAAGAGAACAGCAAGGGCARAAGGCAGAAAAGTGCCAGGTGTGGCCACACCTGGGATCCCAGCAGCTGGGGAGGCTGAGGCAGGAGGAGTGCAAGTTCAAGGCCAGCCTCATCTATTTAGGGAGACCCTGTCTCAAAAGGGCTGGGGAGATGGCCCAGTGGTGACGTGGCCCTGGGTTCAATCCCCTATACCAAAACAAACAAGGAAGGTAGGAAGTGGGCAGCTGCTGGGCATGACCCTGAGCAAGCAGGAAGGGCCACGGAGAAGAGGAGCAGGGCGCAGGGCTCCTGGCAGAGCTGGGGCTTACCTGGGTGGGGCAGCCTAGGGTCCGGACGGGGAGTGGCTGGTGGGTCAGAAGCCTGTGTGTGTCCCTGTGCATTTTCACTAAGGTGAGTATGCACAGGGTTACTGTTTCAGAAGCATGTGTGCCCATCCCTCTGTCCTCACCCCCCAAAGGAGGCCCCCTACACAGCCACTTCCACCCCTCCCCTCGGCTCCAGGCAGTTACTAAGAGGCTTCCGGCCTCCGGATTTGACACTGTGGATCAGGCACTAAGACTGGCTGCTTCCCCAGAGCAATGCCTCACTCAGGGCTCCCCCAGGCAGCCGGTGTCAGCACTTGGCTTCTTTTCAGGGCTGACTGATACTCCTCTCTGCAGACTGTCCTGTTTTGTGTCTGTCCATCCCTGATGGACCTTGTCTCATGCTTGGTGCTGCTGTGAACAGTCATCTACATGTTTTTGTGTGAACATGTGTTTTCGGGTCTGCGGAGGAGAAGCGTGGGAGTGCAGCTTCTGAGTCCCACCGTCACTCTGTGTCTAGCTGTTCCACAGTGCAGGTGAACCACTCTAACACAGCTGAACACCAAGCACAAGAGCCCCAGGCGGTGGGCATCCAGGCTGGAGTTCAGGGGTGGGTCCCACTGGGAGCTCAGAGAGAAAGCTGAGGCCCCAGGTGGGGTGAGGCGGCACCCGMACCCCCCAACCCTCTCCCCACCCAACTGCCAGCCACTTGTTGACAGTGTGTCCCTAGACACACACGCACTAGAAGGGGGCGGATAGTAAAAACAGCACCTGATGATAGGGTCGGATTAGTCCCACCCACTCTCCTTCCGCTGATGCTGCTTACTTAGGATCCCTCCTTGTTCGCCAGTCTTCACAGCGCTACGCTTTCAACACGGATCACGTTTATCTGTGTCCGCGACTCTCCCCGCTCACTGGAAGGCCACCCGCAGGCTGACAGGCTAGCTCCCCACAGCACCCCAGGGCTCCCAGAAGCCTACGCCCCCAGGACTCAGTAGGCACTGCCTGGCGGCCCTGTGCAGAGGGAGTCCGCATCCGGACCTGGCGCCACAGGGATGGCGCTACTGAGGGCAGCTTCTGGGTATCCTCCGGTAGGAGGGAGGAGGAAGCTGCAGCTGCCCGCTGCCCACTGCCGGGTTCTGATGCTCAGTCTTCCTTCCTGACAATGGAGCAAGTGCAGCCTCCTCTGCTCCCTACAGGAAGCCAGGCATCCTCCCCACCTGCTCTGTCCACTGGGTGGGCATGTCCTGGGCCTGGCTGGACTGTTGCCATAGAAACAGCTGGGAACCTGCCCTGAATGGCCCCAGACTCACTTCTCTACCCCCATCCAGTCTCCCTTCTGAAAACAACAGTCCTTCCGGTCCATGAAATCCTGCCCGATGCCTGCAGGCCCGGTCTGGAGCCCTTACAGGCTGGGTCCACCCTCCCAACAACCCTGGGGTGACCAGCCTTACTCCTGCCCTTGTCTTACGGTGCGGAAATGAGGCCTGGGGCTGTGGTTGGGTAAGAGCCGCGTGTCCAGTGGCTGCACTCCACTGAGCTGCAGATGAGCTGCCCTGCTACTCTGCCTCCCCCGCTGTGGACAGAGACACTTCAGACCTGAACTGTGAGAGTGTGGTGTGTATGAGACAGGGACGCAGAGAGGGGACAGAGGACAGATATGGGCATGGGGGCACTGAGGAGCCTGTGGGTGAGCCAGTGGCTCTCAGCCTGTGCCCCATCTCCGCCACGGGAACTCCGAGCAATGCCTGAGGTACCCTGGGTTGTCACAAACTGGGGGCTGTGGATGCCGCTCAACATCCGGTATTCGCAGGACGGTCTCTCAGGACAAAGCAGGATTCCTGCCCCATGTCAGCAAGCCCAGGAGAGAACCTGGCTCGAACCCCCTGCCTGCCCGGCTGCCAGCTTCCACTCCCAGCTCGGAGCTCAACCTCCCGCCCCCCGTGTCCCCCACCCCACCGTCCTGCCGCCTGCCCCGGCCTCTGCCTGCTCTCCCGGGCCTCCCGGGCTCTCTGGCTCCTCTGCTCTCCCCACCTCCCGCCCTCCTTGCCTCCTCCATCGCACTCGCCTTCTCCTTTGGCCTCTCTATTTCTGCGCACGCCCTGATGTCTCCGTGGACCCTCCGATCTTCCTCCCTCGGTCACTTGGTCTTTTCTCTGCGTGCCCCTGTCCTTTCCGTTCTCCTCCCCGGTGTGCGTCGCCTTTCCGTCGCGCTGGGATGCCCGCCTGACTCCGGGCATCCCACAGTCACCTCTGGGCCCCTTCCCTGCACCCCTCTGCCGTTCCCGCCACCTGTCTACGACTCTCCGCCTCTGGCCATCTCTCCCCTGCCCACACTCCAGCCTCCGCTTTCCGTTCCGCAGCAGCCTGGCGGCCGACCTCCTGCGCTCATGCCGGCCCTCCTGCTCCTCGGGACCCTCGTGCTCCTGGCCTCCACCGCCGGCCAGGCCGGGGCGCGCCCGTCCAACGCAACGAGCGCCGACCCCCCCGGCCCGCTGCCCGCCCTGTTAGCGCACCTGCGGCGCCTGACCGGGGCGCTGGCGGGCGGCGGGGGCGCGGCGGGCCCGGGCGCCAACGGCACCAGGACCAGCCCCGCAGGCGGCCCCGGCGCAGCAGCCCGGGCCCCGCCTCCTGCCGAGCTCTGCCATGGCTACTACGATGTCATGGGCCAGTACGACGCCACCTTCAACTGCAGCACGGGCTCCTACCGCTTCTGCTGCGGAACCTGCCACTACCGCTTCTGCTGCGAGCACCGCCACATGCGCCTGGCGCAGGCCTCCTGCTCCAACTACGACACGCCGCGATGGGCCACGACGCCGCCGCCGCTGGCCGGGGGCGCGGGGGGCGCCGGGGGCGCGGGCGGGGGCCCAGGGCCAGGCCAGGCCGGGTGGCTGGAAGGGGGCCGTCCTGGGGGTGCGGGGGGACGAGGAGGCGAGGGCCCTGGAGGCAGCACCGCCTATGTGGTGTGCGGGGTCATCAGCTTCGCCCTGGCCGTGGGCGTCGGAGCCAAAGTGGCCTTCAGCAAGGCGTCCCGCGCGCCCAGGGCGCACCGCGAGATCAACGTGCCCAGGTGCGTGTGCGTTGGGGAGCCAGGGTAGGGGCCTGGGGGCGGGACCTGGGCCGTGGGAAGTGGAGCCTTTGAGCGAGGGCGGGCTCCAGGGATGGGTTGGACCAGAGACGCCTGGAGGGGGAGGAGGCCCAGGGAGATGAGGGGCCTGAGACTGGAGAAGGCCGGCCCACTGGGCTGTCTGAGCGGGGAGCGCCGGCCTTCCTGCACCCAACAACTATTTCTTTTTCTTTTTTCTCTTTTTCTTTTTGGTACTGGGGACTGAACCCAGGGGTGTTCTACCACTGAGCTATATTTCCAGACCTTTTTATATTTTGAGTCATGGCCTCACTAAGATGGGTAAGGCCTCATTAAATTCTAAGAACTTGCGATCCTCCTGCCTCAGCTTCCCACGTTACAGAAACGTGCCACCGTGCCTGGCCTCCACAAACGTTTCTCAGTGACCTTCTGTGGGTCAGGAACTGGGATTACTGCATGACCAAAACAAGGTCCCGCCTTCTGCCACGGGCTGTGTGGCCCAGGGCCAGCAGCTTAACCTTTTTTTTTTTTTTTTAGTTGTAGATGGACGAAGTACCTTTATTTTATTTACTTACTTTTATGTGGTGCTGAGGATCGAACCCAGGGCCTGGAAGGCACCTGCTAGGCGAGTGCTCTACCGCTGATCCTCAGCCCAGCCCTGCTTGGCCTCTGTGTTTCCTTGTCTGTTCAGTGTGACAATCCTGACCTATCAGACTGTAGTGAAGATTAACTGAGTTGGTTCAGGTAGAGTCCTGGCGTGGCAGGTGCAGCCCGGCACAGTGGTGCATGCCTGTAATCCCAGTGACTTGGGATGCCCAGGTGGGAGGATCACAGCTCCAGGGCAGCCTCATCAGCTTAGACTCTGTCGAAAAAATGAGATAAATATGGGGTGGGAGGTAACTCAGTGGTAGGGAACRCTGGGTTCAGTCCCAGCACCTCCCCTGCCATGCAGACAAGCCCTGTGTCTGCAACCAAGTATGCATGCAATATAACTTTAGATATTAGTAATGGCTTGAAGGGAAAAAAGCCCCATCAAGGGCTGAGAGTGTTGGGAAGTCTGGTTTAGATGAAGTGGTCAGAAAAGGCCTGTCTGAGCAGAAACATGAAGAGAGTGATATCTTGGGAAGGGCATTCCAGGAAGAGGAACAGCATGTACAAAGGCCCTGAGGTGCCCTGACAGCAGCAGGAAAGGGATTGGTTCAGCTAAAGTGGTAAGCAAAGAGGCAAGGAGCAGCAGTCTGGGCCGAGTGTCTCTAACTGTGGAGGGGGCTCTGGGAGGGTCCTGACCTTGGGGGAGAAGCACCCAGGCTGGGGGTGAGACTAAACTGCCGGGGCAGGAGGCCAGGGCAATGTCGGGGGCACCGGGAGCTGGCGGCTCACGGGAAAGGTGGGAGTGAGGAGTCGTGGTGACGGCGAGGTCTGGGGTCTGGGTGACTGGGCTCCTGGGGCTCCTTTGTGGCTTCCGGTTTCAGGATGGGGCAGAGCCACCAGGAGCCGGTGCAGGGACCACATGGGGTGGGGCAGTGAGCTGGGAAGGACCCTCAGGGGRAAGTAGGGCCTAGAGAGGGCTCCAGGACTCCCCAGAGGAGGGGGCAGGAGGGAAGGGCCCGGCCTCTCTCCTCCCTCCTGTCCCCAGGCCTCGGGCCACTGACCATCCCTCTGCCCCACTTAGGGCCCTGGTGGACATCCTGAGGCATCAGGCGGGGCCTGGAACCCGTCCGGACCGGGCCCGAAGCAGCTCCCTGACCCCAGGGACTGGGGGTCCCGACAGCATGCCCCCCCGGACGCCCAAGAACCTCTACAGCACAGTGAAGCCCCCCAACATCGGTGAGTGGTGTCACCGGGCTGCCTGGTCTGACGCGCCCTCATCCCTGTGGCCTCCCCCCAGCCCCCCTGGGGCCCCCAGCCCCTGCCCGTCCTGAGCTGTCCTGCACTCAGCACCCGTGGGCTCCGCAGGCGTCCTGAGTGCACCGAGGAGCGTCCCAGGGCTGTAAGGAGGACAAAAGGGGCTCCTCTGTCCTCGGGAGGAGGGTCCCCAGAGTGAAACTGAGCCAAAGGACTGTAGGGCGAGGGGCCACTGCAGCCTCCTAGGCCCTGGGCAGCTGGGCCGGCTGGAGGCCAGGGGGAGGCTGGGCTGAAGGAGGAGAGACTGCCTGGTCCTGAGGGCCACGGGAGCCACGGGGAGCAGCTCCCTCAGAAGAGAGGGGAAGAGCCACGCCTCTGGAGTCAAAAAGGGAGAGATGAAGGGGAAGAGGCTTGGGAGGAGGCTGGGATGACGGTCCCGGGGAGCAGCCAGGACTGAGCTGGAGTGGGGGGGCGGGGGGGAGGAGAGGGTCTGAACAGTTATAAGAAGGAACATTCAAGATGGATGCTGAAATGTTCTCCAGACAAGAGGAGGAAGAGGACAGAGAGCTGCACACCTGGGATCCCAGCCACTCGGGAGGCTGAGGCAGGAGGATGGCATATTTGATGCCAACYTGAGCAACTTAGACTTGTGTCAAAATAAAAAGGGCTGGGGATGTAACTCAGTGGTAGAGCACGTGACTTGCATGTGTGGGGTCCTGGGTTCAATCCCCAGTACCAGAGAGGACAGAGAGAGGGAGAGAGAAATAGAGAGAGAGAGAGGGAGGGGGAGAAGGCTTCAAGGCAGCCAGAAAAGAATAACAGCTTGTGCAAAGGCCCTGGGCAGAACTGAGCTGGGCTGACGCAGGCCTCAGAGAGAGGAGCAGCAAGAGGGAAGATGAGGCTTCAGATTTCCAAGCCTCACCATTCCTCAGTCCCATGTTATCCCATGGGTGAGGGTGAGCTGAAGGAAGGGTTTCCGCAGAGGACGGGCAGCAGTGTGTCGAGATGCACTGGCTGAATGGTCAGGGGGAGAGCATGGGTCAGGGTGGACACCTGGAGGCCAGGAGGGACCGAGCAGACATGAGTGGGGAGTTGGAGGGAGGCTCTCTGGCCTGGACTTTAGAGTGGGTGTGGCCGCAGCCCCTCCCCAGCCAGGAGCCTGTGCTGCACACTGCCCCCTGCAAGTCCCCAACTGTCACCATACACAGCCCATGGCTGGTCTGACCTGGGGGCCCCAAGAGGCCTGACCGAGGGCTGAGCTCAGGGCCGGGATCTGTCCAGGAGGTGGGGGCAGCAGGGGCAGTGACATGGCCTCCTTCTCGGTCCCCTCAGAGAATCTGCACCACAACTACCTGCACCTCAGCGCCAACAGCCCCACGCACCGAGCCGCCATGCTGGGTACGCAGAGGGCTCCTCCTGCCGTGGGCGCCCGAGCCAGGCCTGGGAAGGAACTGGAGCGAGGTGCCCTGTGCCCTGCTCACAGCGCCCACAGTGCCAGCCACCAAGGCAGCCTCCGTGTCCTCCAGTGGACATGGAGGGGTCCTCCTTCCACCCATGTGAGAGGGGGCACACCCGGGCTGCACCCCCACCCCAGACAGTGCCAGCTTGTGGGTGTCTTCCTCCCTGCAGCAGGTCTGGGCACTGGTGTGGGGCAGCTAAGGTGACTGGATGGCTTTGAGGGGCTGGGGTCCCAGACTTCTGCCTCCCCCAGGGAAGGGGCCCAATCGACTAAGTGGGTCTGTGGGTGGAGGACTGGGGTCTGGACCCTGGGTCTGAGGGAGGAGGCTGGGCCTGGACCCTGGTTCCTAGGGAGGAGGCTGGGCCTGGACCCCTGGGTCTGAGGGAGGAGGCTGGGCCTGGACCCTGGGTCTGAGGGAGGAGGCTGGGTCCTGGACCCTGGGTCTGAGGGAGGAGGCTGGGGCTGGACCCTGGGTCTGAGGGAGGAGGCTGGGTCCTGGACCCTGGGTCTGAGGGAGGAGGCTGGGCCTGGACCCCTGGGTCTGAGGGAGGAGGCTGGGCCTGGACCCTGGGTCTGAGGGAGGAGGCTGGGCCTGGACCCTGGGTCTGAGGGAGGAGGTGGTCTGGACCCCGGGGTCCATGTATGTGCTGGGTCTGGACCCAGGGCTGACCCCTGCCTGCTCCCCAGACTGGAGGGCCCTGCCACCACCCAGCCCCTCCCTGCACTACTCCACGCTATCCTGCTCTCGCTCCTTCCACAACCTCTCGCACCTGCCCCCGTCCTATGAGGCTGCTGTGAAGTCGGAACTGAACCGCTACTCCTCCCTGAAGAGGCTGGGTGAGTCTGGGGAAGGGGACAGGGGTTGGGTTCAGGGCGGTGGACAGTKACCCTACAGTCCTCTAAAAATTTAGATTCTCTCTCGGGATTTTATCCACATTTGTTCCAGAATTACCCAAGGCAATTTTGTAATAGAATTACCTGGGGTATCTTTTTTAATGAAAATTCATGGTTTACCCTCTGAAGACCTATTGCATTTGTGGGGGTGGTACCGGGGTTTGAACTCAGTGTTCAACCCCTGAGCCACATCCCCAGCCCTATTTTGTATTTTGTTTAGAGACAGGGTCTCACTGAGTTGCTTAATGGGTGCCTCGCTTTTACTTAGGCTGGCTTTGAACTTGTGATCCTCCTGCCTCAGCCTCCTGAGCCGCTGGGAGTACAGGTGTGTGCCACCGCAGCTGGCCACCTATTGCAATTTTCAGTAATATAACTTAAGCAAAGAAAACAAGTTCTTGTTGGCTTGATCATGGAAAGTCTACATGTCTCTACCTTGAGATATGGCTGGATCCAGCAGCTCAAGAGTTTCTTCAGGATTTTATAGTCTCAGCTTTTCTAAACAAGTGGGCCTTGTTTTCAGACAGGTTCTCTCCCCATAATCGCAAAGATTGCCCCATGAATTTTCCGGCTGTCATTCTACCATGTCAGCTTAAGTCTCCCTGGCAGAAAAGAATCCCTTTTCTTCGATCCCAGCAAAAACCCCAGGCCTGGATACCACTGGTCACATGCCACTCTCTGAACCAATCATGGTCACCCTGGTTAGGCATTTCCCAGCCCGGGGATTTTCCCTGGTGGTGGAGTAGCTTTCTAACATTTTGAACTGAAAACCACACTAAGACATGCTTTTTATATCACGACCTGTGAGGCACACATACTTTTAACTGCAGAAAAGCTTTGAAACTAGTTATCATGGGCATTTTCAAACGCTGTGGAAGCAGAGAACATCTGTAAATGAAGCCCATGTTCCCTCTCAGCTCTAGCCACGAGCCTCATTCTGTTCCCGTCCTCTCTGTGCCTGTGTTTTGGGGGGTTCTGTTAAACTAACCCCAGGCCTGGGGCCGTTTCATCCCCTAACGTCGGAGCCTCGCTATCTGGACCCTGTATTCCTCATCCAGAGGACGGCTGTTGGTCTAGCCTTCTTTCCTATTCTATCCSCTTTTCCAAACTGCGAGTCACTACCCGCAAAACTCACTGCACCTCCCGGCAGTGACTCTAAATGCCAAGAGTGAGGAACAGTGCTCCAGGGTGGAAGCGGGTGAAGAGAGTCCCCAGAGCCAGAGTGGGTTCACCTCCGGAAAGAAGGGGTACTCAGAGGCCAAAGAGAGGGACCCCGCCTCCCGCCCGGCAGTGGACAGTGGAGTGGGGCGCGGGGCTGTGCACGGCTGGCGCAGCCGGCTCAACCCAGGGCCCTTTGGGCGCACCCGCGGGAGCTCCCCAGGCAGKGGGGGAGGCAGGCCCTGGGCCGCCGGGAGGGAGACTCTGCACCTTTCCYCTTCTCCCCCAGCCGAAAAGGACTTGGACGAGGCCTACCTGAAGCGCCGGCACCTGGCCGAGATGCCCCGCGGGACGCTGCCCCTGCACGCGCTGCGGCGACCCGGCACTGGAGGCGGCTACCGCATGGAGGGCTGGGGTGGCCCGGAGGAGCTGGGCCTGGCGCCCGCGCCCAACCCGCGGCGGGTCATGTCCCAGGAGCACCTGCTGGGCGACGGGGGCCGGGCCTCGCGCTACGAGTTCACGCTGCCTCGCGCGCGCCTGGTGTCGCAGGAGCACCTGCTCCTCTCGTCGCCTGAGGCCCTGCGACAGAGCCGCGAGCACCTGCTGTCGCCCCCGCGCAGCCCAGCGCTGCCCCCCGAGTCGGCCCCCCGGGCCAGCCTGGCGGCCTCACACTCCAACCTGCTGCTGGGGCCCGGGGGGCCCCCGACGCCGCTGCACGGGCTGCCGCCCTCCGGCCTGCACGCCCACCACCACCACGCCCTGCACGGCTCGCCGCAGCCCGCCTGGATGTCCGACGCCGGGGGCGGGGGCACGCTGGCCCGGAGGCCGCCCTTCCAACGCCAGGGCACCCTGGAGCAGCTGCAGTTCATACCTGGCCACCACCTGCCCCAGCACCTGCGCACGGCCAGCAAGAACGAGGTGACTGTCTGAGGCCGGGCGGGGGCCCGCGGGCTGCGGCCTTCCAGGCCCCCTGCCCCAAGTCGGGATCCACCGGCACAGGCTCACACACCCCAGGGTCCAGAGACCCAGATGGGCCCTTGAACCCAGACCAAGCCTCCCGCCAGGATGTCAAACGGCAGACAAGATCCCTCCTCCTATTATGTCACTGAGTCAATGCCTCCTTCCCATGATGTCATCGCAGAGGAAGAGGCCTGCCCATGAAGTCACTAGCAGAAATGTCTGTGTTCTACGATGTCACTAGCGGGACAAAATCCCTTCCCATGAGGTCCTCACAGAGGAAGAGGCCTGCCTACGAGGTCATCACTAGAGGCCGCATCTACTCTATGACATCACCACGGACTTTCTGTGATCTCCCTGCAGAGGCAAGTCTCACCCTCTGAAGTCATCCTGAGCTCCGAGGCCTCGCTGGCGTCAGTGTCGCGGGGAAAATACTTTCCTTCTGGTTTTTGCTATGGACAAGATGCCTGTGTCCTAGGATGTCATTGCTACAGACAAAGCCATCTCTCTGGGACACACTGCAGGAGAAATGCCTGGCTGGTTGTGTCCTCACCAAAGGTAAGGCCTCCTCTCCACAACACTGTCACAGAACTCTGCCCCCTTCCTGGGATGCTGTCACCAGAGAAGCTGCCCTGCCCTATGATGCCACCAGAGAGGCTGTGGCTGTTCCTGGGGGATGCCATCACCAGAGATGACAACCTGCTCCTGTGACCTCTCCAGAATGAGGCGCTTTGGCAATGTCCCCACCAAACGCCACCCACGGGGGTGGTGATGACACCAGGGGACACCTCACTGCTGTTGCCATGTGTGAGAGGGCGAGGCGTGATACTGAGCCAGGACCACCCTGGGGGAGTGCTAGAGATAGCCCCTGTCCTGAGATGCCACCTAAGTGTCACCACTCAGAGGCCACCCTCTGGGACCAGTCTCCGCCAGTGAGGACTGTGTGGCTGTCGGCTGTTGACAGTGACGCTCCACGTTTCCGCGTGATCACCAAGAGCTTCCCCTCAGAGGCAGTGTCTGCTCGGAACACCCATCACTGGTGACGGTGTCACCAGAGTTTCTGCCCCATCCCACTACGACTTGGCTTGGTGGCTCCTTTCCTGACCCCAGGGATATGACCACCATGATGCCTGCCAGAGCCTCTAAAGGRAGGTTGGGCCCTGTGCAGTGACTCCCAGGAGCCGTGTCCCTAGACGGGCTTCTGCTCCAAGGAGCCCACTCTGACCCACCCAGCTCCTGGAGCCGTGGCACTTGTCAGTAGCCTGAGAGCTGTGTCACTTCTCTCTGCCACAGGTAGGGACATCACCAACTCCGTCAGCAAAGTCCTAGCCTCCTACTGGAGGGGGAGGGTTGGGGTGTGCCTGCTCTTGATCTTGGCCAGGACATCATCAGTGCCACACAGGGTCCACCACTCATGATGACAGAGCACTTGGGGTCGAATGTTAACCAGTCGTTTGCCAGGATTCCCTCTGACCCACCTCAACCATCCTCTTTTTCCAGGATTTTCCATAATTAATACTGTCATCATTTCCCAAGATTCCCTACAGCCAGTAGTGTCACCATCTCTCAGGATCCAGCACAAGCATGGTGTCATTATATCCTAGAATCGACCCTAACCACTCATGTCCTTGCCTTCTAAATCTCTATCAGGACCCATTAAGACTGATGATGCCAGGATTTTTTCCCAGAATTCCCTGTGATTACCTCCCAGGATCTGCTTTACCCACGTCTCCACGTCCCAGGATCCACCATACTTTGGGGTTATCGCTTCCCAAGATCCTCTCCTGTCACAGAGTCCTCCATGCCCCCCAATCCACCACAACTGTGGTGTGCTCATCTCCCAGGAGCCATGAGAGCCAGTGGTGTCTAATCAACCTCAGTGTCTTCGTGACCCCGTGACACGTGATGGTACCTGATAATCATCATCTTCCAAGATCTGTGGGAGCCATGGTGTCTCCACCTCCCAAGATCCACTTCCACCATGTGCCATCACCTCCATCCCTGGGGGATGCCATCACCAGAGATGACATCCAAGATCTGTGTCACCATGTGTCCAGATCCATGAGAGTCCACAGTATCAGCACCTCCTAGAGCCCACTGCAGCCATGTTCTCATCATCTCCGAGGAGTTATCACCACCGACGTCCATCATAACCTTGATCCGTGACACCCAGTGTGTCCCCACATACCAGGCAGCCATGTGCCATTGCCTCCCCAAAGCCACCATCTGAGGGGTTGAGTACATGACAGGTTGCATTTCAGTTGTCCTCCAGGGTCAGCAGAACATGCCATCCTCCCGTTCCCTCAAATGAGTAGTGTGGAGCCCGCTGGCCCCTCGGATGCCATCCCCCCACTGTGCCCTTCTGGATTATGCCCCTGCGTCTCTCCTGACAGGGTGGAGGCCCAGGTCAGCCCCATCACAGGCTTGGCCTTGGCCAGCATCCCTTCGCTCCTGGTGAGGGTACCCCCAGACAGCATCACTGCCCCTTGCCCAGCCATCTGATTGGTGACAGGGTCACCCACGACCTCTCATCAGCACCAGAGTTGGGGCACCCCAGCCCTTGGATGGTATCACTGGCCCTTGCCTGAGCCTTGTTCCCTGGACCCCACCAGGACCAGAACTTACTGGCTCGGGCCAAACTCTCTTCAAAGGCCCCTGGCCCTGTGGAGGCCACAGCAGCTGAGCACCCGTGGCTGTCAGCTCCGCCTCTGCTGGCCTGACCCTGGGAGCAGCAGCCCCTGCTGGAACCACCTCCAGGGGCTAAGGGTGCTCCTTCGCCCCCTCTCCAGCTACCAGGAGTGTCCAGGGAGTCCCCAACACCCAACGCACAATCTGCCCCAATTCTCTTTGTACATAGCCATGTTGCAGGGGGTGGCCATTCCCCGTTCTTAAAGGGCTACATGCCCCCCTTCCCCAGCCCCCAGGGCRAGGTGGGGGGCCTCTTCTCCCTCCTCTGGGCCACCCCCTCCCTTTTWTGTCTCCCCCTAAACACTGGCCTCTCAGCTCCTCCCTTCTGGTCAGGAGCCTGGGGCACTAATTGGGCATACTGAGGAAACTGGGGAGCCCCAATCCACCCAGGCCCCAGTGCCAGCTTTTCAGTCGCATTGCTTACGGCTGCTCTCATGGGCTCCCCCCTCCGTCCCTTCTGAGGCCTCCTTCCAGTGTGCTCAGGCCGACTCTGACCTCCCGGAGGAGCCAGCTGGAGCGCCGCCCCACTGCTCAGCACCCCCAGTGAGCACTCAGCTTTCTCTGGTCCCTGGAATCGGGAGGTTTGGGGTCTTTCAGCTGTGGGGTGCCCCCTGCACCTGCTCTCCCCTAGCCTGGACTCTAGGGATCTGGCCTCGCCCTCCACCCTCAGTTCACTTGGCACAGGCTGCCTGACCCTGGGGCCTTGACCTCTTAACTCAAATAAGCCATAGTGGGGAGCGGTCTAGAGGGTGGGCCAGCAGGCGCACTCGCCTGTCCCCCTTGCTTATGGAGCTGGGACCTCACCATCTGTCTTCCCCCGCGGCCCCAATAAATGCACACAAACACGTGTGCACACGTGCACACCCACGCACAAGCACCTCCCTCTGACTGGGGGCTGCCAAGGGGCGTCACTGAAAGTGGTAAACAGTTCCAGACCAGGAGACCCTCCACAGCTCTGCCCACCCTTCCCCTCCTCACGCCTCCCTCCAGCACTGGACCCTGCCTCGATTTCCTGGTAAGGACAGCTCAAGGAGCTGAGACTTGGTATTTTTTGGAATAAACTGACGTTTCCTGATCTGTGGTCTCCAGGTTTTCTGGGGCAAAGGATGGGTCCCTGGGGTTACCCACACGTGTAGCTGATGGCAGGTTGGTGTTTCTCCAGGGACACTTCTAGTGTCTACGTCTAGGTGGCTCAGGGACAGCCCTCGCCCTGACCACCACGCTGGTGGTGCCAGTGGGGTGGGGTGGGGTGGGGCAGGGTTGTAGCTGGCTTTTAAGTTCTGGATCTTTTCCTCAGAAACTTCTCCACTCTGAGCATGTAAGCATGTGTTTGCAGATGCTGGAAGTCATATTCTTATATCTGGAAATTTTGACTAAATATCAGCAAGAGGAAGGGCAGGGGACTTTTCTAGAACTGCAAACTGGGTGGCTTACACAACAARAGTCGATTGTCTTGTGGTTCTGAAGTCYGAGGTCAAGGTGTGGGCAGGGCTGGTTTTTCCCTGGGGGCCCAGGCCTCGCCCCAGCTCCCTGGTCTTGAGGTCACTGTCTTTCCCTGTGACYCTCCATGTCTTCCCTCTGCACCTGTTTCTGTGCTCACAATTCTCCCCGGGCGCCCCTGCCCCCCCCTTTTTTGTAAAGACTGTCAGGGTCGTGTTCCAACACCTTCCTCCTGCCTCAGCCTTCTGGGTGGCTGGGACTGCAGGTGGACGTCACTGGGCCTGGCTTCCAGCACCCCTTTTATGGGGGGTACCAGGGATTGAACCCAGGGGCACTTAACCTCTGAGCCACACCTCCAGGCCTTTTATTTTTTTAAATTTTTATTTGTTGTAGTTGTAGGTGGACAGAATGCCTTTATTTTATTTGTTTATGTGGTGCTGAGGATCGAATCCAGTGCCTCACACATGCTAGGCCAGCACTTTGCCACTGAGCTACAGCCCCAGCCCCCCAGGCCTTTTGAGACAGGGTCTCCCTAAGTTGCCTAGGGCCCCACTAAGTTGCTGAGGCTGGCTTTGAACTTGCCATACTCCTGCCTCAGCCTCCCAAGCCGCTGGGATGACAGGTGTGCGCCATCACGCCCAGCCCAGCATTTCTTTTGAGGGATATCCGAAACGGGGGGAACTGCGCGGTGCAGCCCTTCGAAGTGTCAGTTTTTRTGATCACTAGAAAACATTCCCCCTCCCATCCAGGGCGTTAGAACATGTGCAAAGTGACGGCCAAGGTTGCCTTCTGCTCTTAGAGCTTGAGCAGACCACAGCAGGGGAAGAAGGTGTCTCCATGTACTAGTTGTACAAACTTTGGGAAAGTTTTCCCCCAGGGGCAACTAAAAGTGTTGGCCTCTACCTCAAGGTAATTTGCACACCACTCTGGAAAGAGATCGGAGAAGGATAAGAGACAAGGAAACAGAAATGCTGGGGTGAAAACGCCCGGGGACAGGATGGTGGAGAGGCCGCAGCTGCCAAGCCTTAGTTGGAGATTCTGAGAAGCTGGATCCTATTTTCTGTTATGCCAGTTCACTAACTTATCCAGCAAAATAGTGAACAGAACAAACACTTTCCTGTTCTTGAGGAGCAAGGACCCACGGATGTCCCTAAACCCTCCCATGAGTCTCTCTTGATCGGGCTCCTGTTCCTGGCAGCCAAATGCACCCTGACGATGACAGTGACTGTCAGAGAATTCAGAGAAGCGAGGGGAAGGCCAACCAACAGCTCAGAGTCAATGCTATTTGTGTTTTTTTTTTTTTTAAAGAGAGAGTGAGAGACAGAGGGACAGAGAGAGAGATAGAATTTTAACATTTATTTATTTTTCTTAGGTCTCGGCGGACACAACATCTTCGTTTTTTGTATGTGGTGCTGAGGATCGAACCCGGGCCGCACGCACGCCAGGCGAGCGCGCTACCGCTTGAGCCACATCCCCAGCCCCGCTATTTGTGTTTTTAATGTTTTCTTCCAGAATTCTCCTTATGCAAATAATTTTCTCACAAAACAGAATTCCCATATGTAGGCTGCTCTGCTGCTCTTCACCTATTATCACGAGGTTGTGAAGTCACGTGTGTACRCAACACGTGCACCCAACTAAAGTGTACTTGCTGCAGGGAGAGAAACAGGAGTTCAACAGAGTGAGGCAGTCCATAAAGAGAACGCGGGTGCCCTTCTGTCTGCCCACATTGCTTGGGATGGAACAATCTCCAAGATGTTTTAAGTAGGAAGGCAGGATACAGAACAGTGGGTAAGCCCTCATTTGTGTGAAAGGAGAGAGGGGTAGACTCCAAATATAAACTTGCTGCACCGAAGACGCCCATTCTCCTTCAGGGCCCGTGGTAGGATTCCACTTCCCTGCCCATGCGACTGGCCCTGGTGGTCAAACATGAGTGCAGGTACTTTCCAATGGCGTTTCGGAGA